GGCCGGTGGCTTTTTTGCCTAGGGCGGCAAAAGAGCCAGAGCCGGCCCTGCGGTCCTCCCTAAGCATGCAAATAGAATGAAGGGTACAAACCGATGGAGGGGTCATTACACAGGTATCTCCTCCCTAACCTAGGGGGAGACAGCCATTCAGTAATCATATCCATCAGACTTGGCCTGGTTTCCAGTAAGGATACAGACTGGTCTGAGATGTGAACAGTAGGATCTCGACTGAGGCCTGGTCTACACTGGGGGGGGGAGGGGGGAGGCCCCTGTGTCCAGGAGTGGTGGATGCAGGCATGGCAAGGGGCACAAATGAATTCTTGGAATTCCACAGTTCTGTGAAGACTTGGCCCTGTTTCTCCTTGTGGGTGTGACACTAGTGGGAGGTGATGCTCATTGCCTTACAATCCTCTGACCCTCATCCAGAGGCAGGATCAGAGTGGGGTCCACAAGTAGGTTCCCCAGAAGCGAGACTAGAGTGGGAAGGAACTGACCCATGGTCCTGGTCTCTTCCTCCTTCCATACCTAAAGGAAGCCAGCTTTCCTCCATGCAGGGTTGGCAACTTTCACAAGTTTGTGATGAGTCTAGCAATATTTTTCATAATGCCCCCAGACCTGGAGTCACATGTTGATGTGAGACTCTCAGCCTTCATTAAAAAAAAAAAAAAAAGCAAACTTCTACCCTTGTGGCAGTAGAGAAAAGCTTCAAAACTTGAACCCAAGTGCACTCTAAAGGCGCTGAGGCAAATAACCCCGAATGCTTTATTTTATTAAAACATTTCATGATTTTTAAACTAATCTCATCATTACGTTGAGGTCTGATTGGTGATTTTTGAACAGTTTGGGGTTATATTGTCCATGGGGGGCCTTAGCAGCGGAGGTGATATTATATGGAGGTTTGTGGGTGGGGTGCTCAGGAAGCCAGACCCAGTGATTGTGTCGATCACAATGATACAGTAGAAATAGTAAACTAATTTATTAATCATTTTTTGCTATGTACAAGTTTAATGGAGAAATATTTGTATGAAACAATTAAAAAGAACTGGTTCTTTTTACAAACAGTAACGGCAGTGACGCAGGTAAGACCCAGGCTCGTTGTTTATTGGTCATGCTTTCGTCTGCGAGTTAGGCAGAATAGGGCCGAGCGGCAGGCACGGCTCCGTTTGTCATCCTGGGAGTTACAAAAATACACCCTCTAATGTGACAGCACTGAGACAGCAGCTAGGACAAGATACATGCCATGGGAAAGAGACATAATGAAAACACAGACACCGCTGTAACGCTGAGCGAAGAAGTCAACCCCGGAGTGATTATAAAACCTTGAGGAATGCTGACCAGGAAACCTTGTTTTCCTGCTGCATCCAGTACCAGCCTTTAACTGACGGGCTGGTGCTGATTCTGACAACCCTTGTATACCTTACTGGAATTGAACTGTAAATGGATCCCTGTGTTCATGGCAGTAAACAGTTCAACTCTTAACTGGGATGGAAGGAGAAGTACTTGGTAACTAAAGAAGGGGACTAGGAGTTGGGATATCTGGGTTCTGTTCCCAGCACTCCTCTGGGCTGACTGGAGCACCTTGGTCAAGTCATGTGACTTCCCTGTGCCTTGGTTTCCCTATCTGTAAAATGAGCTATAACAATCCAAGAGTGATGTGAGGCTTAATGCGATCAAAATGTGTTAAGTGTTTTGTGGCCCCTGGGGGAAGATGCTAGAGAAGTGCAATGCATTAAAATAGTTACAGTAGGATCAAATTCTGATGCCCTTATTCATACAGAGTAGCAATTTAGCCCATATGTGGGTCCACTCATGCAGTAAGGCATTATTTAACATTATTTCCGTAGTTTCTAATAGCAATATTGATCTCCTAGCCAGACATTTCCTGGCAATTCATGACCAGTTGGGTAAAGGACTCGTGGGGGGAGGCGTGGATCAGCATTCTCATCGCACTCTCCGTCAGTACCTGGCCCCAGCCAGGGAAGCTCATGATCCAACCAGCGGACCAAATTCGGTGATGAATCCTGGTCACGTGCCGCCTGAGGCATGTTGCACATACGCTCAGAAGAAGGACGACGACTCAGGCCCTCGCCTGCCAATACTCAGACAGGGAGATGACAGCGCTTTGCATTGTGATAGCACTTGTTCTCTGATGAACTCAGTGCACTCTCCAGAATAGTAAGAGGGTAAGTATGATCATTACCCCCATTATACAGAGGGGGAAACTGAGGCACAAAGAGGGGAAGCCATTGCCCGTGGTCTCGCAGTGAGTCAGTAATGGAGCTGAAAATAGAACCAGCAGGTATTAGAGACCCAGAGGCCATAACAGGAGTATCATTTTAAATATCCTTACATAGTACCACCACTTGGAATGGCCTCTTGCTATTATAAAATAGCTTGGGTTGTTTTTTTTTACAGGGGAATGAAAAATAAATTTCTGTTGAAATTCCAGACCCCCAGCTCTAATTTTGGATTTTCAGTGACCAATCAGATGTTAACTCTTTTGTAAAATGTGGTTCCTCCACCTGTTGTACTACCCATAGTCCTTTGCTCTAATACATTCACAATCCAGTTGCAGATGGATGCACCCTTCTTTACATCCTGTCTTTAACAACTATTGTGCTGTTAAACTGTAATGTTACGCAGCTTTCATGCCCCGCCACAGAGGTGGCTGCATTGGAGTAGTGGGTAAAGTGATTTCTGAAGTGCTTTGGGATCCACCAGAATGAGTTGGATGCTTTACAGATGTACATGAGATATTTAATCCAAAGGATTTTTCTAAGGACAAACTGAAGCAATGTTCTTACGAATGAATCTGTAGTTACACACAGTGAAGGGGGCCATTAAGCTTCTTCGTCCTACCATGGCTCTTTCACCTCCAGCTCTGACGAGGCCCCCTTTTTACTTTGAAACCCTGCGCTGTAACCGTGGAGCTGTTGTGTAGATATGCCCTAACTCTCCTCCAGGTGGTGCAGGTACACAATCAATCCTCTGACCCCAGAATAATCCTCCTAGCCCACAAAACTGATTCTGGTGTCAGAGTTCCCTTTCCTCTCCAGCTGCGAGCCTGGGGGTTCATCTCGTAAGTGACACTGCAGCGTCTGGATAAAGTCACAGACTAAGGGTGGTTGCCAGCTTGATTGAGGAAGGAGGGCAGTGGGGTGAACTCATGCAGAGAGGAAAGGTTTTCTCTGGCTTCCTGATGGAACAGAGGGGTCTACTTGGGGGGCTGTGGTTACAACACAGATAAAAATTGTAGTAACCGTATCCCTGTCACGGGGATAAACCCTTGATCAGTCCAAGGTGTTAACCTGGTGTGGGGACACAAATAGGTCCCATCTACACTACAGCTTTATCCATGTTGAAACCGGGCTATGGGATGACCATGTTCTAACCCTGTCCTCTGCCAAGGTTACAGTTGGAGTGTACCTGGAGCTTTCTGGCGTGGGTTAAGTCTCAGAAGAGAGCTCAAGGAATGAATGGGCATTGGGAATCAACTCCCCTCTCTGCCCCCAGGGCAGGGCTCAGGCATGGTGGTGGGGCAGTGTGTAGTGAAGTTTCTGTAACCACTGGGGAATGTATATTACAGGTCCCTGTTTATGCCTGGGCTGCAGACAGAGTATCGGAGCCAGAGCTACAGAGCCTGGCTCTTTAGTTCAAGCTGTAGCAGCTCATGCTGTCACGCTCAGGAGGTCCCTGATTCAGTTCGTGGTAGGGTGGCCATCGGACTTGCACTCCTGCTGGCCCATGGCATACTTGTTTTGTAGTTGATTAGCCTCCAGGGATGTTAATCCAGCACATTTAACCTGAAGAAAATTTATTTAAAATAAACAAAGATCCCCATGTGGAGCAGGGAGAGCAGCATGGGTGTTAGGTTTGGAAGGGCTACATTTTAAAAAGCAAAAGCCCAAGTTGAAGAAGGACAGAGTGACATGACTGATTTTAACAACTCCATCTTGTTGGGCTAGAAATTGTATCCCCCAGGGCATGCTGGTCCCAGGTAGAGAGGGATGGCCATGGGATTTCCCTTGGTTGCTCTGGAGGGGGACTACCTTGGTGGTAATGGGTCACAGGCCCCATAGGTTTGTGGATTCTGTAGTTAGTGGAGGTTTGAGTTGCTCATGTAGCCCTATGAGACTTAGGGTACATCTACGCTGCAATTAAAAACTGGCTGCTGGCCTGTGCCAACTGAGTCAGGCTCATGGGGCTCAGGCTAATGGGCAGTTTAATTGCAGTGTAGGCATTCAACTTGGGCTTTAGGACCCTGCGAGGTGGGAGGGTCCCAGCGCTCAAGCTGCAGCCCGAGCCCATGCAATTAAACAACTCCTTAGCCCAAGCCCTACGAGCCTGAGTCAGCTGGCACAGGCCAGCCACGAGTGTCTAATTGCAGTGTAGACATATCCTAAGGGACCAAAACACTTGGAAATCCATTTTGAATGTGAAAAGAGAAACCTGACTGATTCATTCTCTCTCTCTCTCTCTCTCTCTCTCTCTCTCTAGTAAACCTAGACTGTAAGCTCAGGGCAGGGACAGTTGTCTTGTATTTGCCTTCAAAAGTGCCATGAAAATATAGAAGAATTAATAAATGCATTGGATGATTCAGAAACAACCACCACGCGGCTTTCCCCCCTTGACTCTGAGCAGCAATGAATCCGGTTGTGTCTGGTGAACCATTCCTAACACAGGCTCTTTGGGATCAGGGAAGGGGTTGACTTCTTTGGCCATGGCAGACTTAAACCGATTCACTATGTGTCAGTGACATGAAACAGAGTTTCCGGTTAGATCTCGTTCTGTTCATTCAGGTCATTGGTTAAGCTATCGTACTCGCTGGAGCGCGGTGACATGCCCAGGTACTGCTTCAAGAACTCGCTAAACCTCTTCTGGTTGTTCCACTTCCGGGCCGACTTCCTGACCCCGATGAAGCCCCCGTACCGCTTCTGCACCCCCTGCACGGTGGGCTCCAGCACCTGCCTGTAACTGTACTTTCCTTTGAGGAAGCCACCGAGCCGCTTGGAAATATCCTTGGGCTGCTCTTGGAAGTCACCCAGCGGGGTCTCACTCCCATTGCTGACACCCTCGTCCACCTCCCGCTGGCGGATCAGGCTGCTCACCTTGGAAACTCTCTTCTCACCTTCCACTTTGCTAAGATCCACCACTTTGGTGAGGTCATCGAAGTGCTTCCGGCTGCCTCTGAACAGGCCACTATCGTCCATCTCTAAGGGCTGGTAGGAATCGTCTTCCAGGCTGTCAGCGCTCACCTGTAGGGACGACTTCCCAGCCACTTTGGTGCAAAGCTCCCAGGTGGCACTCGAAAAGGCCTTCCCTTCGCACTCCATGATGCAGACCTGCAGAGAGGAACAAAGCAAGGAGGCTTTCAATCGGCCACTGAGCCTTTTCTCCAGCGAGTGGAAGTAACCTCCTGCAGAACACGAGTGCAAGGTCTGTGCTCTGCTTCAAGCCCTACTTAAGCCCTCAGTGACAATTGCTCATCAATGTGAGCTTGTGTAACCTTCTGGGTGTGGTGTTCTGTCCTATCTAGTGGCCCTGAGACCACTTAGAGAAAGAGAGAGAGATTAATGAGTCTGCTCTACAGCCTTAGCTAATAGCCATATGGATCCCAAAGCACTTCAGAAATCTACATGCGGTAGAAGCTCATGCATTTAGCTCCAGAGGTCCCGGGTTCGATCCTGCCTGCCGCTAACCAGGGTCTGTTAGTGTTACATGGTTTCCCAACCTGGCTGTTTGTTAGTCAACAATTAATAGCTGTAGACCATTGTATAGAACTGGCAAAGGCAGCACAGAGTCTTTCCCGGATTCGGCCTAAAGTGCTAGGGAACCAATAATCCCAAAATGTTTGAAAAGGGCCGTACAGAATAAGGATTAATTGAAGCAAGTAATTATGCTAATTCCCTGTCCTGCAGGCACAGCTATCTTTGGTATGCATGGAGTTCTGCACATCAGAGAAATGGCACAACGTTGTCCTAACTGGGGAGGCCCATGACATAGTATTGCTTCTTTTTTTGACCTGATCAACTAGTTACATTTTGGGGCCATAATAGGGTGACCAGATATCCCGATTTTATAGGGACAGTCCTGATATTTGGGGGTTTGTCTTGTATAGGCACCTGTTATCCCCCAGCCCCCATCTTTCACACTTGCTGTCTAGTCACCCTAGGTCATGGGGCTGTTCTAGCTGGAAGTAGAAATTGATGGAGTCTGGTATTTAGCTTTGATGCAATCTTGTTTATTTACAAGGAATGTACAAGGTCCTGCTTCCCCAAACGCAGTAGGAACCACGAAAAAAAGGAGCTGTGCGCACTCTAGCTTTTTCCAGGGTTACACTGTGCTCACCGACTACTGCTGGGCTTTCTTTCTTTGTTCTGTCTGTTCTCAGTTTCTGTGTGTTCTGCCTACACATGAACATCTCTTCCCCCCCTCCCCCCGCCCCGCAACCAATACTCAGCAAAACCCTTCCTCGCACTCAGTCAACGAACTCCTGGGTGAGTGTGACGTTGTGCAGTCTACATGGTTTTATAAAAATATAATAAGTCAATATAATGTAACTGGGATAGATTTAGAGAAAATACGGTAATAAGTGATATAATGTAACTGGGATATGCTTCATGCAAAAGGTCTCTTGTAAGGTATCATTACAAAGTTTATAATCTACTGAGTATGATAATCTGATTTGTATCAATGTACCACTCTTGTATCTAAAACTAGAAATATAAAACATAACTCTGAGGGCCTATTGTAATTATGTAGAGTGTGGGCCATTAAGGATGGTTTGGAATCTTGATGACTCCCATTGTCTGCAGATGGCTGTATTTACCTTTGAGTCTTCCTGTATATGTGTGTGCTGGCAAGTGAGTAATGAAGTCTTGCAGTGACATGTGATCATGTCACCTGAACTGGAATTCATCTTTAACCTGGTGCTTTTCCAATGAGGGGGGGTGGAAACCCAGAGGGACAAAGGATTCCCGCCTTATGCAAAAGATATATAAAGGGGTGGAAGAGAACAGAGAGGGGAGAGGAGCCATCATGGAGAATCCCCTAGATAACACCTAAGCTGGAACAAGAGTTGTACCAGGGGAAAGAATTGTGCCCAGGCCTGGAAGGTGTCCAGTCTGAGAAAAACTTACTGAAGCATCTCTGAGGGTGAGATTATCTGTATTTAGTTTGATTAGGCATAGATTTGCGCATTTTATTTTATTTTGCTTGTGACTTACTTTGTTCTGTCTGTTACTACTTTGAACCACTTAAATCCTACTGTCTGTATTTAATAAAATCACTTTTTATTTAGTAATTTACTCAGAGTATGTATTAATACCTGGGGGAGCAAACAGCTGTGCATATCTCTCTATCAGTGTTATAGAGGGCGAACAATCTATGAGTTTGCCCTGCATAAGCTTTATGCAGGGTAAAACGGATTTATCTGGGTTTAGACCCCATTGGGAGTTGGGCATCTGAGTGCTAAAGACAAGCACACTCCTGTGAGCTGTTTTTGGGTAAACTTGCAGTTTTGGGACAAGTGATTCAGACCCTGGGTCTGTGTTGAAGTGGACTGGAGTGTCTAATTCAGCAAAACGGGGTGCTGGAGTCCTGAGCTGGCAGGGAAAACAGAAGCAGGGGTAGTCTTGGCACATCGGGTGGCAGCTCCCAAGGGGGTTTCTGTGATCCAACCCGTCACAGTGGGCTCTCTTAGGCCTTGGCTACACTGGCACTGTACAGCGCTGCAACTTGCTGTGCTCAGGGATGTGAAAACGCCCGCCCCTCCCCGAGCGCAGCGAGTGCAGCGCTGTAAAGCGCCAGTGTGATCAGAGCCTGCAGCGCTGCATGCTCACTCGCAGCGCTGCAAGCTACTCCCCTCGGAGAGGTGGAGTACTTACAGCGCTGCGAGAGAGCTCTCGCAGCGCTGGCGGCGCGACTACACTCACGCTTCACAGCGCTGCTGCGGCCGTGCTGCCGCGACAGCGCTGTGAATTCCCGAGTGTAGCCAAGGCCTTAGGCTTTACTTAAGGGGCCACACCCAAAACGCTTCACAGCTATTTTAAGTGAAGGGTGAATTCACACATCAGTTTCAATGAGGTTTTAATTTCACCCATCACAAGGTTTAATCCAGTTCATAACAGCAGCATTTAAAATACAGAGTATGTGCGTTAAATGCACCCTTCTGCTGGAGGACATTTTGAAACAAATCTTTTGTTTCATCCTCCTGGTAAAATACATTCCCATCAGCCACAGCTATCGAAGGTTGTGCTGAGGGGGCTAGATCCCATTCATGCTCATCCCAACTGTCAGATTACAGCAGCCTGTAAAATGCCTGCAGCTGTGTAATACTGAGGTTATAAAACTGCACAACAGCCCCCCTGACCTGCAGAATGGCATTTAATTAGCCTTGTGTAACTGGCTAAAAATCTGAGGGGAAAGCAGTTGTGCTCACAATGGGGCTATCTAGCCAGCCCTGTAATCCTGTCACTGAAGCATGTTTGGCAATTGTATAGTTAACACCCTTCAGGTTTTTCCTTCCTCTCTCTGCTTTGGCTGCTTGGCAGCACTGAACTCTCTGTGCAGAGGATTCACAGACAACAGTCAAACCTGATGTGGGAATTATCATACTGCCCCCATCGTAACAGTATCTGGGCACCTTTTGCAGCCCAGCAGGCATCCCTTTAGACACCGTACGTAGACACGGAGCTAGATTTTCTTCTCAGTTATGCTGGTACAAAGCCAGAGTAACTCCATTGACTTGCATTGGGTGACTAGTCCACCCAAAATCAGAACGAACTCAAACCTGAACTGATCCTTTTCTGAGCGTTGGAACTGCTCCCTCCCCCTTAGCTTTCATTTGTTTAAAAACCTTCCGGTCTCTGGTTCTAGCATCCGCACTATGAAAGATGCTGAAATACACACGTGGGATGTCTGACCTAACATTGTTGGTTATTTTTACAAGTCTGACCTTGAGAGGCTTCCACCCCAAATTTAGGAGATTTGAGAGATTCCAATAGGTCAAGTAAGCATCTGAACGTATGGGTTCTCAGACAGTGTCTCACTGTGTGACCTTGGGCAAGTCACTTTGCCATGTCTCCGTTTGCCCATCAGCTCAGAATGATAATACTTGCCTATCTGGGGGCAGTTAATGCTTGTAAAGCACTATGGATTCCCCTGGGTTGAAAAGAGCCACAGAAATGCAATGCCTTCTAGAAATGTATAATGTATTAATTATCCAAACTGATCCTCAAGACTGTTCACTTCACCCCCGCTTTCGCAAGGACTTATCTGTGGAACCTCTGTGTGACTATTGGGGAAGCAGATAGCAACTGCTTCGAAAAACAATATCCACTCATCGGTGAAAATGATTCACGTTTCCCTTTGAAGTTTGTGCTTCTGTTCCACTCTCCCTCTGCTTATTACGGCTCTGTCCTTAATCCAGGCATCATCCGCATCCTTCCTCCTTTTATCAGACCTAGTTCTCCCCAGGCTAGGATGCGGATCAAACGACGGGTCATGTGGCCACAGCTTTTGCTGTTAGTCATGGTTATCAAGCCTCGTGTTGATGACTAAAACCAGCCAACGGGGAAAACTGGTCCGGGGAAAATAGTATTTTTTTGTTATCTTCAGACAGAAACCGATTTGGTCCTCTCCAAAGTTGTTTGTATGACGCAGGCTGGGCCAAAATGACGCACTGGTTGCAGCAACAGATTAAACTAAACAATGTGTGTAGAGCCTGCCAGTTTAGGGGTTCCAGAGATGTAGCTCGCACAGGGAGCAGGGCCACACAGAGACTATCTACCTGGGCTGGAGAGAGGACACACCAGAAGTGTGATTGGCAACCTGGGTTTCCTCTGGGAGGTACTGTCCAAGGGACTACATGACCAGAGCAAGAGAGACCCAGAGGAGAAGGTGGGGGTGATTCTTAACCTCCACCGCCGCATGGAGAGGGAGCCGTTTTCTGACTGTCCCAGTCAGAGGGCCTGAGGCTACCTCAGAGAGCCCATAGGCCACTCTCTGCTCTGGAAGCCAGGAGTCAGCCCGGGCTTGATTCGACTGGGACATCAACCAGCTGCATGCGGAAGCTGCCTGTAACTCAGACAGTGATACCTACCTGCCCCTCAAACAGCTCTCTTGATCAGGCTGGGGGTGGCCCTTGGGGAGGGGTGGGGGTTCTCTCCTAATACTGCTGGGAATAATCAAGAAAAGGATAGATAATAGGACAAAACATATGATGTTGCCTCTATTTAAAGCCCATATCTTGAATACTGTGTGCAGATGTGGTCGCCCCATCTCAAAAAAGATATCTTGGAATTGGAAAAGGTTCAGAAAAGGGCAACAAAAATGATTAGGG